CATCCGCGGCACCCCGGGCTCGGCGGGAGGAGCTGGGTGCCGCGGCACGAGGCGCTGCGGGAGACCAGGGCCACCCTCCGTCCCTTGCCGGGCAGGGACGGCGCCGGGGCTGGGATCGCTTGCCGCTGGTTGCCTTGTTGGGGCCAGAAGGACGAGCGTCAGGGCTGTAGGGTGGGGAGCGATTTGGAAGCTTTGGTGGTTATTTTGAAAGTTTGGTGGTTGTTGGGTTGGTTGGTTTTGTTTTGTTTTTTTTTTTAAGGAACCGATAGCTTTTTTTGCTACCCTTGCCGGGCAGGGACGGCGCCGGGGCTGGGATCGCTTGCCGCTGGTTGCCTTGTTGGGGCCAGAAGGACGAGCGTCAGGGCTGTAGGGTGGGGAGCGATTTGGAAGCTTTGGTGGTTATTTTGAAAGTTTGGTGGTTGTTGGGTTGGTTGGTTTTGTTTTGTTTTTTTTTTTAAGGAACCGATAGCTTTTTTTGCTATACTGTATTGAGTGCGTGCTGAATATATACGTTCTTTCACACAGCTGGCTGGGGTGTTTGTGGTTGCCTGTTTTATGTGTAGGGTGTAGCAGAGGAGGAGGAGGAGGAGGAGCAGCCCCTGCCTGGCGTTAGAGCTGTGCAGGAAGGAGCAGGGGTGCCCTGGGGCTGACCCGTCCTCCTCCATCGCCTGCAGCAGCAGCGCCGGTGCCGGTGCCGGGGTCAGAGGATGCCTGGAGACAGCGAGAGGCGTTCGGGCCCCGAGGGGGGTTCTCTGCTGGGAATGGGACCCAAAGAGCCCGTTAGACCGCTTGAAGTGGGGGTGGCACGGCCCCTCCAAGAGATGTTGCATTTAGCTCTCTGCCTCCGAGGCTCGAGTTGGTTTTTTTATTGTTGTGATGACAACAGGAACTAGTTAATTTTTGTTACTCTCCTTTTTGACACCTGTGTGGATTTTAAAATCTGTTGATTTCACTTAAGCTGGACATTAAGTGTTTAAGAAACTGTTGGGGGGTGGGATGGGGGATCAAGGGATCATTGGGGTTCTGTTTACTTTTTGGCAATGTCCAAAAGCCGCCACGATGTTTCAGGGCGAGCGAGAATCTGGAGCGCACGGAGCTGCCGCGGCTCCGTTTCTCTCTCTTGGCATTCTCTGCATTTATTTTCTGAGGTCCTTTCTGGTTTGCAGCTGTTGGTTTTGTCCACGGGCCCATGGTTTTCCGACGTGGGTGCTGGATCCTGAAAAGCCGAGCGTGAATTCTTCCTCATCGCCAGTGGGTGTTGATGTACCCAAGCAGCAAGCTCGGAGCGTGCTGGCATCCCTGCTGCGGCGATGCATGGAATAGCAGGAGGGATGCTGAGCTGCTGGTGGGGAGGAAGGTCCTGGATAAACTCCTCCTGGATGAGCAGAGGTGTTAGGAAATCCTAAAAAATAAAGGTTGAGGTTCGGATTGGTGGGAAGGAGAGGGCGAGGAGCGGTGCTGAGGGCGAGGGGTGCAGCCGGGCAGCGTTGGGGCTCGTTCGGAGAGGTGTGTGAGCCCCCGGGCAGGGTGGGCGCAGGGAAGCAGGGGGGTTACGGCTGGGACGGTGGGGAGTTACCGGCGCCGGAGGAAAGCCCGTGCCATGGAGAGGCATGGAGTGGTGGGGGTTAGGCAGAAGGTCCCGCGGCTGTGCGGGAGGCATCACACCCGGCTTTCACACAGCCCTGCCTGGGAACACCCGATTTAAGGGAGTTTCTTTCTTTTTGTTGTTTTCCTTGATTAATTTTGTTCTCTTTCCTTCGTCTTTACTTTCAAGAAAAGAAATCTGTACAGTCTAGGGGCAATTTTGTACGAGAAGAGTTTTGTCAGCTGTCGGCAGTGATCAGGATTACAGGAAAAACGCATATATGGTTAAGTGGTATCTCCTATCACCATTAGAATAATGTGAAGAATTGCTTACAAGGACCCTGTCAATTATATATATATATATAAAAAATATATATATATAGTTTTGCATTTTTTTTACTCTGTGGTTTGTAAGATCCTTTTAGAAGCTTGGAAATAAAATTTCCTTCCCCACCTATTTTCTTCCTTTTTTTTTTCCCCCCCCTTTTATTTGCGAAAACCAAACCTTGTCTTTCCCTGCGTCCCTAACAAGTAACAAACGTAAAACTGAAATTACACTTACCTGTCTGTAGCGCAGGAGGCTGAAAGGCAGCCCAGGTGAGGGGGGGTGTTGTATGAATTCCTGGCGTTGCTTGGTTGCGTGTCTGTGGGTATGGTGGCTCTCCTCCGCTGGTGAGAATTAATCTGTCATGGTTTAGGCCAAATCGGCTACTGGGGACGTGGGAGACCCCAGATGGGACCGACAGATGGTCCCCTCTACCACTCTTCAAAGAGGTAGAGGAGGGAAAAAGAGCCTTAAAAGTTTAGAAGGAACTAAACTACTTTAATAAAATATTAATAATAAAATAAAAGGAAATAATGAAACATATACAAAACCGTATCAAGCTCCCGAGATGACAGTCACGACACCGGCTGGCACTGGGGCAGTCCCAGGCTGGACTCTGACGGACGGGAACTGGATTCCAGATCTGCATTCAGGATGGGGATCAAAGGCAGGTGAACAGAGTCCTCCTCAGACGTCGGCCGTTGAAGAAAGAGGTGGTTGTTTGGAAGAGTCGGCTGGAGGGAGAAGGTGAAGGAGAATGGGCAACGTTTACTTGTGGACGACTCTTGAGTTCATGGAAGATGTCAGATGGAGCAGGGACCTTGAAAAACACTGAAATTTCTGTTTCTCCCCAAGGGTTGGTCCCTTACCAAGGGTTGGGGCTGCAATCCAGCTGAACCTGCTCCATCCCGTAGCTTATACTGGAGCGGTGGACAGTGGACGTGACCACCATGGCAGCAAAGAGCACTTCTGCAGCAGCGAGGTCAGCAGCGTCCTGGCAGCACAGGGCACGGGCACCTCGTCGGGGGCAGCCGCCGGCAGCGTTTCCGCACATGGGGCTTGCCCTGCTCGCACCGCGTTCGCTCAGCGTTTCTCACCTCCATCTGCACCGGGGCGGCCCCCCAATCCCTTCGGTGGCCTGGGGCTGCCTGCACCCGCAGCTCCCTTCCCTGGGGGACAGACCCAGCGCCCGCCCCGCTCCCCCACCGCCCCGATGGGGTTGGGAGAGACGCGATCGCAACCAGGTTTCCTTCGGGTTTGCCGGGGCTGGTGGGTTTTGCCTTTTATTTGGTAAAGAGCACAGCGCAGGCATTTGGAGCAGAAGCTCCAAGGATGCCTTCGAAGGGACAGATGATTTTTTTCTCTTGTTTTTCACCCGAGAGGTGAGAGGAGCTGGTGGGGGCAGCAGGGACTGCTCTGTTTAATTGCGAACAGCAGTGGAGATAATGCTGAGCGACACCACACTGCATCGGGGGAAAGGACACTGGAGTCATCCTCGTTCGCTCTCAGGGTGACCTGACCTGAATTCAGGTATGCGGTTTCTCTTCAAAGGAAGCCCAGTGAAGTTCACACTGCTGATTTTAAACAGTGAAGTGCAGAATGCACTTTATTTTTGTTCAATTTAAAATAAATGCAGCCTTCGGAGAAAATAGTAGTTTGTAGTAACCAAAGGCCCTTTCTCATGGAG